TCTTTCTCGAGCCACACATGCACAGCAAACCACAGCTTTGAAGTCTCATTCGCGCTTTGAACTTGTATAGGTGTGTAAGAGGTATAGCAACGTAGCATTTATACGGACCCAGGGTAGCTACAATTCTGTTCCCAGGTATCGCGCGCGTGAGGCTTCAAAGCTGTGGATTGCTGTGCTTCAAAGCTGTGGATTGCTGTGCGTGTGTAGAGGTTATCGAGCGGTTGACGGAAAGGGAACTTGAAGTACTATACCTGGTAGCGGCACTATAGCTACCCTGGGTATCTATACCTGGCAAGGTGCCAACTACACCTTTCCATTCAGATGATGCAAATGATGCAAATTGCATTTCTTGCATCACCACCCCTAATCACCTCCAACCTCCTCCCCCAGCATGTGCCGAGTTTACGTGTACCTTTTGCGGGCCACCCCCACCAGACCCCCTAACTACTCACTTCGTTCGCCAAGCACAACTCAGCTGGCGCCTTCTACGAAGGCTGGCTTTCGTAATTTGTTCAACCCAAAACCCCAAACCCAAATGTCTCAAGTGACCCACCCATACACATAAACAGAGAAGTGGAAAGAGAACATTCAAAAATAATAGAAAATGCGTGGCGATCCCATTCCCTTGCCCCTGCCTGCCTCCTTTTTCTGGAATTCACCATGGAGTTTCTCCAATGTTCGCCAATTGTGTTTCTGCTCTTTCTCATAGTCCTGTGCGGCAAAGAGCGTTTTGCTGTGGAAACTGCTCATCGTCTCATCGGTGTGCAAGCGGCCTTGCGGCTATGAAAGAATGGCGAACCATGACGGTTCCAAATCCGTAGTTTAAGGATATCGCCTCACAGCGGCTGAAGTACAGGCAGCATATCACATATCCATTTGCTACTTCAAATTGAAAGTCATCCGTGCGCTTTCATACTTGCTTTGTTTGGATCACCCTTCTTGTTGATTCATAGGAAAACGCATCAGCCACAAAAGGGCCCAGAGTTGACATGCACGCTGCTACGTTAAGCTCTCGTCTCACCTCCTATATCGAAAAGGCATACGCAGACACGCACACATCCTGCCATGCCCGGTCATTCTATCTCCCTCTCTCACTCTCTCTCCAAATGGTTGACTCCACCATTTTATGCTTCTCTGTGTGTCTTTCGATCATCTTCATTGCATTTGACAAGTTTCTGTGCTTTAGCAGGTCGCGTTCCTTGGATGTATCATGTATACCGCGAACTTATAGTCCGAACGGGGAAGGTTAAAAAACGAAACGTTCAAATAAAGGGCAGTCATTCCGGGACGTTGGACCACGGTTTCAAATTTCAGGAGAAATGGACAACATCCAGAAAACGATTTCTTGCGCATCAACTACAAGACACGCCTCAGCAGAGAGAGTTCAAATAGAAGAAATTGAAAGCCCCCCAGCCACTCCAATCTTCCGAGCGAGTGAGAACTACTCAGTAAAGCATGAGTTCAGAATTTGAGAAGACACAGGCCACGCTTTCAAATAGAAGAAACTTGAGAAGGGAGGGGACGAAAGCCGTAAGAAGACATCAACATGGCTATGGGGGATGAATTCGAGAGAGCACCGGAACCGCTGTCGGAATGGGGAAAAAAGCCAAGGTGGAAAGTCGCAGTAGTGGCAGATACGACAGGCTCTCATTCACAGGTGAAAGGGCGGGGTGCCCCTTTTCCTTTTGCTCAAAAGTTTTTTTCAAGAAAAGTTGGCACCCCTAAGTAACTGAGGGGCGCTTGCTTGCTGTTTGTTTGTCTTGTCTTGTAGATAGACGCATACAGTCGGCACACTGCTAAGCGGATCGAGGGAAGTCTATGGGCCACGGGAAAGATCATGATCATGCGATTGCCATACATTGAGCTCCCGTCGCCGAGTCTATCGGCTGGCTTTCGTAAGGATATATATATATATATACCTGCATCCTCGAGGGGGTGCAGCTTTTCATTCTCTAACAAATATTCAGTCTTTCCAATGTGAGGGGCAGAACTTTTTCTCAGAGACACATCATGATTTATGTGAGTTTTGGAGCAATCCTCAGGAGGATTCATGAAGGATCTTCACATAGATCGCACCTCATGTGACTCATCTTGGCCAGTGACTCTTTTTGATCTTTTTGGTGGCTGCAGGTGGCTGCCGTGTAAAGAGACATGAGGGGTGAATGCCCGATCTCTCCCCACCTCTTTTCTTATCACATCCTCCCCCGCTACGCCTATCCTGCACATGAACTCCCACCCCATAAAGGGCACCCCCAAGCAACTCAAAGCTTGCCCGCTGCATTCGTCCTCACAGATCACAGTGTCTTAAGAGACAAACACCTCCCTGTCACCCTGGTCGAAGACCATTTCAATCGCGGAGTCGTTGCGCTGTCTCCTCTTTCCTATCACCGACATGAACTCCTACCCCTGGTCGAAGACCGTTTAGATTGCCTCCTGAGCCCCTCAAGATGCTAATGATGCACTAATGGCCAGTTACATCACCTGCATCACAACAACACACAAGCAACTCCCAAACTGCAAACACCCCCTATGCTCGCCCAACCCAACTCCAGCCTAGCCTATCGGCTGGCTTTCGTGATAAGCAGCCAGAAGCATCTTGATACCCTGAGCTTCAGCTCGTGTGTCTGCAGGGGCATTCATTGTCTCAGCACTGTAGCCACAGCAGTGGAGCAGAGCCAAGAAGAAAACAGAGGGGACAAAGAGCACGCACAAACACGGAAAAGAATAACAACAAACACGGACATAGAGGGAAAGAAGAAGCGGAATCCGATGGAAAATGGAAACCGGATGGACAAAGGAAAGAGAAAGACACGGGAGAAATGAAAGGAAGAGGAGACGGATGTAGAGACGGCCAATGAGAAGACCACGAAAAGGCGAAGGGTAAGTTGAGATTGAAGGGCCGGACAGGGAAACGAACACGGAAAAGCATGGAAACCACTGCAGTTGTCCCAAATGGTACAGTATCTTCTAGTTGTGGCTACACCGCCGTTAGCGGCACTGAGTAATTTGCTATTTTTTGTTTTTTCGGGTTCAGGGGAGTTTGGGGGGTCCGGACTTCACTTGAGGAGGCCTTTGGGGATGTTTTTCTGGGTCTTAGTGAGCTTCACTTTCGGTGGATTTTCCTTTTTTTGGGGGGAGGCTACAACCAGGGTTATAACCATGCTACAACCAGTGTCAGGGTCTGTGACGGGAGAAGACTGCAATCATGCTCATGACCACGTGTCACAATGTGCATATTCCCAAAGCCGCTACCGGCGGCGTCGCCTTGTTTGCGAGCCATCTTCTATTTGAATTGGTTGGGTGCTAAAAATTGAGCATGCTTTCACATCTTTCAAGTAGAAGAGTCTGACAACTAATTTCTTCCATAATAGGCGTTTGTATTCTATTGGATGGGTTCGCACGCAGGGATATGCTGGGTGTTCATCGCATCTGGCATGCACACCGCGCCCAAACAGTTCGCGACTTAGGCGAGTCTTTCAGATTGGAAGGCATGGCCACTGCACCTTTGCTTGTGGCTTACGCATTGGCATGTGTGGACACATGCCACGGCTATCACCAACTTTTGTCGTCCTATGGCCTAGCGCTGATGCATCGGGGTTGAGAATTGATGATCTAAAACGTTTCGACGCACCTGCTCTGTACAGTGGGCACAGCAAAACAGCATGGTTCTTGCAAGCGCGACGTGGCATTGAGGATCTGATCACACAGTCCGCGGCACTTTTGCATATCCTCCGAACACTGGGCCACACAAACCAAATCGCTGTTTCATTGTGTTCAATGTTTTTCACATAGTCTTGTCAACTAACAGGTTTTGCGTGCTCGCACAGTTGTCGTTGCATCACCAAAAATGGTTGGCCTTGAGGGAGGTAACATGCATGTGAATGCTGGTGAACGAATGCCAGCTAATTTCTGAGCTGTCTCAGTGACTAAGACGCGAGCCAACAAATCGATGAAACCTAGGCATTTCGCGGTTAGCCACTGACAGCCGCATGATGACATGAGACCATATTGGTCTGAGGTTCTTCTGCTGCTCCGTCATCTGATCTCGCGGCATATCCTTTGGAAGAGCTTTGTACTCCTCAAGCACCCTGCGGGCCGCTTCCATGTTGGGATGAAGTAGCATCTCGTAGCGAAAAACATATTGCCACTTATGTCATACTTACGTTAGTAGGTTTGTTCTGCAACTATAGAGGCTATATATAAATGACATCCGCCTTTGCGCTGTGGGCCCATCTGGATCAATCTGTCGCCAAAGCTCGTGAATATCAAGGAATATTCGCAGCTGCTGCATGAGCTCCTCCCAAGAAGAACACAACTTGGGACAACAACAAGTTTTGGCAATGGATGCCTTGCTCAACCTGAACTGAGTCCTCATTGTGGTCAAACATGGTGTCCATTCCCTTTTTGCCCCGGTATAGCTGCAAATTCTGCATCATCTCCGTGCCTGGAAGCGTTGAAACAAGTCAATCCATTGATCCCGAGGTCCACAAACATTGTCACTTACTTCCGGGCTGGGTCAAGTTGCAAACGACATTCAACAACTTAACACACAATCAGACGCTTGCTAACATCATGCAAACACTGATGCTGGCAAGTGGGCATTGAAATTCCAAGCTGCGCAAGTCATCTTGAAGTTCATCGATGATTGAAGGCTTCAGCTCAGGCTGGACCGACACATTTGGACAAATTGCTTGGAAATGGAGTGTCCTTGTAGGCCGGTCAAAAACATAACGTTGGTTCTTGACTCGGATTGGGAAGTCTCCTGACCTGGAATCAAGGGCCTACCGCATCTTCAAAAAAAGTGAGCCAACAGGAAACCAAGCGGAACCAGGAGGTGAGAGAAGACAAACACGTGATTCATGCTGATTTGGCTTATATAAGCTTTGTTCATTTGGAAAAGGGATGCGTCAAGCGAACCAAATGCGAATCAGTGCCAAGCATCCATCAACCCTTAAGAGTTACTCCAACACCAACAATCACCAACAACTTAGTTAGTTATATGGTCGTGGCTACCCTGCCACAAATCTGAAATTCGCCGGTGGACTGCTTTGCTGTCACTCTACTTGCACACTTGCACCGGCATAGCACACAAAACAGCATCTTAGATGAGAAAACTGACGAACCATACTTCTGCTGCCCTGGGCCTCTCACAACCACAGACGGGGATACACAATTACGTTTGTTTGTCTTGTTCGTTTCGCTGCTCTAATGGCTCCAAGCTCCAAGGCCTGTGATGCAGGCTGCAAACAAAACAAGGAAAAGTGAGACCAGACCACAGATCGAAAATCTCAATAGACATAGTGCACGACATAGACAGCACATAAACCAAGAAGATGCCGAAGATGACACGAAAGACAAAGACATGCACAGAGAAGGAAAATATCAAAGGAGTCAAATCAACCCACAGAATCACCTGGAAGCACATCCGTGATAGCCAAATGTTCCATGGCGGGAACCACTGCAAATGCAAAACAAGTGTGTATATATATATATATATGCATTTAGGAAGCCATGCATTTCAATGTGATTGCATCAGGGGACAGGGTTCCAGGTGGAAGTTGCGATCGACAGTTGAATTTCCGCGTCAAAAGTGGACATTCATGATGACTTTCTCCACCATGTGCATATCACATGTCAGCTCATAAGCGCGTCACTTCACCACAGGCAATCTCTAAATTTTAAATGATTGTGGTCAGTAGAGTGAGTGGGCACAATCTTCTCTACAAAGGGGTTTGTTCGACACCTGGCCGCACAGTTCAACACAAAAAGGCGGCGACCAGCAAGGCGTGACTCAGAATTGCAAGAAAAAAGTGGTATGTGTGACGATAGTTCCAACGTTCAGAGTTCCGGGCAAAAGAATTTATATATATATATATATGCGGTGTGGCATTTGTGTCAACTTGCAACATGAATTATGCAATGGAGCGAAACCAACCTCACATGCTCAACGTATGGAAAGCTTCTGTAACATCTTGAATTATTTTGTCCCATCTGCTTTCATTGCGTTCAGAAGCGTGGCAGCAAAAATCTACGCAGCGTCAATTGGGGAGAGGCTCTCTTCATCTTTGGCATGGAGGAATCTTTCCCACGCTGGCTCGCTTGAACTGTCATCGTCGTCCAAATCCTCAATCAAGGTTGACGACGGAGGCTTGTGTGTGTGTGTCACCCCCTGTACCAAAGGGTTCAATGCCACTGTTCTTCACTACAGCCACTCAACGAGGCAGGGGGCCAGCGCATGACATCACGACGCTGGCCAACGAAGCTAGTGATGTCATGGGATGCGGTCAGAGACGTCTGACCGTGTACCTGCCAAGAAACTGTTGATCACGCTGTCCAAGTTTCCTTTTTGTTTTCATGGTGGTTCATGATACCTCCCACAAACCCACTCTTCCCCAGCAGCTGCGCCGCCGGCTTGATCGTTTTTGCCGCCGCTTTGAACGTATGAGTGCTTCTGTGAACAATGTTCAACAATACATTTGCGCCGACTTTTCCACCTTGCGGTTCTTCGCCTTTCTTCCCATCGGGAAATTGAGTGTAACTGCAAACCAATGTCAGAGTGTGTTTCGCTCAGCCGTCCCACTCGGGTGCCGAGTGTGATCCCCGTCACTGGGGCGCTGAATTCATGCCGGAAATCGTGTAACTGAGCTTTTCCACTACTGGCTCCACCTTAACTGAATTTACTGCCTCCACGGCCGCCGGGCCAAAAAACGGAACACCAGCAGATTCCATCCTGCATCATCGGGCTTGTATAAGCTGTGAACGTTGTTTTTCGTGGTTTTCCTCCTCAAGCTGAGTGATTTGATTCATTTCGAACGCTTAATTCGGCTTGCATGCACTTACCACCACTTTTACACTACATTTTCACATTTTAACTACCACTTTACACGACTGCATCAGCCGCTGTCCTTGCCGCCGCGCCGCGCCGCTGCCATTGTGAAGCGGATACCACGAGTTCTGGATGCAGTATCCTTGGCCTTACTCCCATACAGCACCACTGCCATTACCCACTCCGCCAACACAACCAGCACCCCATCCACCCACACACCACCAACATTCCCAGTCCCACAACATCAACCAGTTCCAGTTCCACCACATCCAACACTTCCAGCTCCACAACAGCCAACATTTGCAGCGCAGCCAACTGTATTACCCTATGGACCTCACTCTATGTGGACCCTCGTGCATTCCCCTCACCCACACCAGATACCGCCACAGGCCACACATCATCCACAAGCATTTCCAGCATCCTATATCGTTCAACAACTACAACATCCACCATCTGCCCACCCCACCACAGCTACCGTAATGCAGCCACCTCCCACCCCTCAGCAGGTCGCTCCAGCCTCCACATCAGCAGAACCCCAATGGCACACATCGCAAGGGGTATGGCAACCTTATTCAGTCTTCCCACCAGTGACACCGCTGTCACCACACCCTTCATCACAGCCCCAACAGGCAATCAGCGACGCGCCCCAAGAACAACCGCCACCCCACGCAGGATCCCGCCAACCCTACTCCCAACACTCCAGTCACTGTCTCACACCCTCTCCATCACCAGCCACTACACCGGCGCCACCGACCACGGTGAACCCGGACCCCGCCGCCGGCGGAGCAACTCAAACAGCTTCACCAGCACAGCCAGCATCTCATCAACCACACACTACTCGGCACCGCCACCATGAGGGGGGCCGCAGGACCGATCATCACAGACACGGTCGCCACCAGCGTCGCCGTCGACGCACTCACCGACAGCGCTCCAGGACCACCAAACACAAAAGTTCCTCCAGGCGACACCGCTCGCCCTCCACATCCACCTACTCATACTCTTCCACTCCCTCACGCAGTCGCTCCAGACAACCCCTTGACCTACGACCCCACGCGGATACTTCCACCGCCGACAATCCCAACACCTCCGCCACAGAGTATCCACTCACACCAGTACATCGCCGACCGCCAAACTTTTGGCGACCCACCACCTCCGCCATCAGTCAACTCCGACACACCTTCTCCCACTCCTTCACCCAAGCACACACCTGCCCGCAAGCGCAAACAGCCACCACCGCCTCCACTCGATCCACATGCAGATTGGGATGCTTGGGATGGCGACGCCGAGTGCCGCCTCGTGGACCTCAAAACCAATCCCAGGCTCCGACCCAACTGGGCCTTTGTTGCTCGACGGGTCGGATTCTCCATCGAGCAATGCAAAGCTCGATGGAAAGAGCTTCAAGACCTACAATGAGCCTACTCCACTACCCACAACACCACCACCACCTTTACCTTCCACTCCGAACCCCATTTTACCAACTCCCACATCACCAGCGAACACACCGCCACAGCAATCACAACCCGACTTCTCAGCCTCACCAACAGCAACCCCATCATCCACACATGAAGCTTTGCCACCGCAGACGGCTGCTGTGCGAGCGCCCAGTGAGAACAGGCATCCGGAATCACCTTCGGAACCGCCTATTGGCAGTTACTTTAATCAGTTTCACCCATTTCTCCACGGCGTGCCATCGGACAAATTCAGCAGCACGCCTCTTGACACACTTTCTTTGACTAACTAGCATGCCACCACTGTATGTCTTTTGATTCAATCTCATGTCAGCTTGATTTTGAATTCGGAACGCCAAATCCACAAGCAGTTACTGTTGCATTCTGCACACATGACCTGACGCCTTATGCCTTAGTTTTCCCGATGGGCTCACCACAGTCCCGCAGCATCTTACATGACTTCGAGCCTTTTTTGCCCTCACACATGGCCTCCTCCCGCGATCGCCCTGCAGCCACCACTGCCGGCAACTACTACCTTCCAGGACGACCTCCCATTTACCTTGAACCTTCCATTACTCATCAGCTAGATCTCCATTCACTCAACTGTATGCTCGACATCCTGTTCCTGATCGTCCAACACATCCGACGCCACCCACTCCACACAAAACCTATGCCAAACCAAACTTACTTCACAGATGACCGAGCCTACAACATACTTTACCAATACAGACGAGACACCATGCTGCTGGACCGCCTTGTCGACAGCCTCGCCACAGCCCGACGACTGCTCCAATTCGTTCCCGGACAACCTGGGCCTTCCGGGACAATATCGCATTGATCCCTCCGCACGCATTCCACCAGAGACTGCAGCCACTCTTCAAGCTTCTCCACCCAATCCCATTTTGCCATCGACACCATCCGACCACTCTTCCTCCCCACGCCCAGGTACACCACCAGAGGATGCTCTCCGCTTTCTCCATCACTGGACTGGCCCAGCTGCATTCATCAATCCACCTCCAGAACGCAACCAATCCCACCACAACACCCACAACAACCACAATCGTGCCAAGGATCGCTCCCGCTCCCGGGACACCCACACTGGCTAGCCCACATGTCACCAACAAGGGCACCACCAGCAGCTCCCTCTTACGGAGCAACTGCGGCCGACCGCGTATGGCATACCCCTTCACTTGCGAGCATTGCCCACTTTGCCACGGCCTATGATCCATACCTCCGGCTCACCGACATTTCTCGGTGAGCACACAGAAAACAAGAGCTTTCCAGACTTTTTTAACAGTTACAGAAGCCATTTTGTTTCACCATGTTCACCGTCACATAGCAGGATTCTTTATTACTCATGCAGCCATTTCACCGAACCGCCTTCCTACTTGCCTCGTTTTCATGACCACGCGCCGCATTGACGACTTGCTGCTGAGCTCTGCCCCGACTCCGACGCCAGCCACCGTATACACAGATCCACATACAACCCACCATGAGCACTTTTTGCCGGGCAACCCGGTGCCCTACATGGCACCATCCGCCACACACCAGCCAGAGCTCCTCCTTCTCACTTGGATGATCACTACCATCACATCCATCGTGGAGGACCTCCAACATCACCCTTTTGTCCACGACCCGACACCAACGATGTCCTCTTTCACCAACACATCGGCCTACAGACTTTACCTACAGATCCGCAATGCTCTCCGCCACCTGATCAACACCACACAGGACATCCAACGAGGACTTAACATCCTCCAATTTCTGCCTGGTTCACCAGGCTCACCGGGACATTACCGCATGGATCCCAACATCCACTTCACACCCGGACACTCCAATTACCTCTCCTCCTCTTTTCAATCCACCATCACTACTTCCCCACCACCAGCAGACACTCAACCTCCTCCACTCACACCTCTTCTTCGACAACTTCACCGCAGGGATCGATCCCGATCTCGCGAACGCCTCCCTATCACCACACATGCAGACCCACATCTCTATACCCAACCAAGACAAGCTTTGGCCAACATCACACCAGCCACCACCGGTCAGCGTCCACCATGCGCTGTGGACAGCCTCGACGACACCATCACCATGCCGCTATCCCCCTCGACCTCACACTTGAGTTTCACCGCGAACATTGCGGTTTTGGAAAACAGTCTCGCGTCCCTTTATTTCAACTTCACTCCATTTTGGCCTTGGATTTTTGCACTCCTTTCATTTTCTTTCTCCGCAGCCATTTACGTTGTTCAGTTTTCTCGTCCACCACCTCACCAGCCTTACCTTCCATCCATGGAGCCTGAATCACCGGACTGGGATCGCAGTCCTTCTGTTGCGATGGAAACAAAAGACGAGATCTTCGAGCACCTACCCACCAAATCCGAGACTTCCCCCACTACGGAAGTGAAACGTGAGGACACCACCAAGGAAGAAGACTCACCCTCCAATCCACCATTCCTTCGTCCTCCGGTCAGCAGCTTTCCAGGTCCCACCACTCCGCCAGCCAAAGCACCGCCTGTATCACCTACATCATACCGCAACCTATCCACACGAGCACCTCCTCTACCAACTCTCAAAGACACTTCCTCACGGAAGAACCCTCCCGCCACCAAGCCCCACACTCCAGCACCACCACCGTCCCATTCCTCTTCCACCAGCAGTGAGGATCCCATCATCCTCACCACCAACGTTCCCATCCTGCCCAAGGCACGCCCTGGACATCCGCCTTTGAACACCACATGGGTGGGACCATCACACCTCCCACCCCATCCAACCTCGTTACAAACCCCGAGCCATACACATCCACCCAACCTTTCTACACCACCCACACAGGGCCCTGTCCAAGTCACT